ACAGAGATCAGTCAGTCTTCGTATGTTTCCTGAAGGTTAACTCAAGCACCAGCACGTGGCAGGTGACCAAAATTCAAAGCCAATGTTTGTACAATCAAATGAATCAATCCAGTTGCAACTGAAATCATGCAAACTTTAAAATAGCGAAAGTAATTCCCTTATTCAAAAAGAGGCAACAGAACACAGAAAACTATAGACCAGAGATAGCAAGAACTGCAAATGCTGGAGTCAGAGTCTAACACAGTCTGGTGGTGGAAGAACACAGCAGGCCAGGAAGCATGAGAGGAGCAGGAAAGTTGACGTTTTGGATCAGGACCCTTCTTCAGAAATGGGGAGGGAGAAGGGAGCTGGGAAATAAATAGAGAGAGGGGTGGGGCTGGGGAAGATAAGTGGAATGGTGATAGGTAAGTGTAGGTAGGCAGTGGTGGGTATTGGTCAGTGGGATGGATGGGGCAGATAGGTGGGAAAGAAGATGGACAGGTTGTGTCAGGTCAAGGAGGCAGGGATGAGAGGAGGTTGGACATGGGATGTGGCCGGGGGTAGGGAGATTTTAAAAGTGGTGAATTCCATGTTTAGGCCATCAGGCTGTAGGCTCACAAAGTGTAATATGAGGTGTTGCTCCTCCAGTTTGTGTGTGCTGTCATTGTGGCACTGGAGGAGGCCCAAAATGGACATGTCACCTTGGGCTGGGTTGGGTTGGGTGGGCGTTTATAATGGTTGGTGACTAGAAGGTGTTGTTGTTTGTTGCGTACAGAGCGCAGATGCTCTACAAAATGGTCTCACTGATATAGAGGAGGCCATGTTAGGAGCAGCAGATACAGTAGACCAAGTTGACGGTTGTACAGGTGAACCCCTCTCTGGTATGAAAGGTTTGCTTCAGGCTTTGAATGGAGGTGAGGGGAGAGGTGAGGGGAGAAGTACAGGAGGGAGGTATAGCACTTCCTGCGGTTTCAGAGCAAGGTGCCAGGTGTGGTGGGGTTAGTGGGGAGTGTGGAGTGGACGGGGGAGTATCAGAGTGAGTGGTCCCAACAAAAGGCAGTTAGGGGTGGGGAGGGAAATAACTCTTTGATCGTGGGGTCAGATTGTAGGTGGCGGAGTGGCGGAGAATGATATGCTCGATGCGGAGATTGGTGGGGTGATATGTGAGGACAAGGGGGATTCTGTTTTATTTTTGTTGGGTGGAGGGGGTTTGAGGGCAGAAGTGCGGGAAATGCAAGAGATGCAGTTGAGGGCATTTTTGACCACCAGATGGGGGAAAGTTGTGGTCCTTGAAATAGGAGGACATCTGGGATGTCCAGCAGTGGAAAACTCCATCTTGGGAGATGTGGCAGAGGCAGAGAAATTGGCAATAAGGGATCGCATTCTTGCGAGAGGGTGGGTGAGAGGTGGTGTAGTCCAGGTAGCTGTGGGAGTCGGTGGGCTTGAAAGAGATGTCAGTTTCGAGATGATTACCAGAGATGGAGACAGAGAGGTCCAGGAAGGAGAGGGAGGTATTGGAGATGGTGCAGGTGAATTTGACGTTGGAGTGAAAGGTGTTAGTAAAGTTGATGCACTGTTCAAGCTCTTCGTGGGAGCACGAGGCAGCGCTGATACACTCATCAATGTAGCAGAGGTACAGGCAGGCTCATGTTAATCCTGGGCCTCCTCCAATGTCACAATGACACCACATGCAAACTGGAGGAGCAACACCTCATATTCTGCCTCAGGAGCCTACAGCCCGATGGCCTGAACATGGAATTCACCAGTTTTAAAATCTCCCCACCCCAGGCCTCATCCCATGTCCAACCGTCCCTCTCATCCCTGCCTCCTTGATCTGACACAACCTGTCCATCTTCTCTCCCACCAATCCGCCCCACCCATCCCAGTGACCAATCCCCACCACTCCCTACCTACATTCACCTATCACCATCCCACCTACCTTCCCTAGCCCCACCCTCCTCTCTCTATTTATTTCCCAGCTCTCTGCTCCCTTCCCCTTCCCCATTTCTGATGAAGGGTCCTGCCCCAAATCATCAACTTTCCTGCTCCTCTGATGCTGCTTGGCCTGCTGTGTTCCTCCAGCTCCACACTGTGTTAAACTATAGACCACTCCCCGCCATGGACAGGACCAACGTCATCTACAAGATCCCCTGCAGAGACTGCGAGAAACACTACCTCAGACAAACAGGAAGGAAACTAACAACAAGAGTACATGAACACCAACTGGCTACAAAAAGACACGACCAGTACTCACTCATCTCAATCCACATGGACAAGGAGAACCACCACTTCGACAGGGACAACACCAAGATCCTGGGACAGGCTAGGCAGAGACAAGCACGAGAATTCCTGGAAGCATGGCACTCCAAAAAGCATGCTATTTATAAACACATTGAACTCGACCCCATATACATTCCACTACGGAGGAAACCCGGAAGTGAGGCAATCCATCTCAACGGACTCCAGAGTTTAAAAACCAGGCGGGAAAACACACCGACGCTTCATCAGAGACTGCATTGAGGATTTTACCAAGCACGGTAATGAAACGTCTGCGGAACAACAAACCAGCTCAGCGAGCCAACCAACCTCAACACCCACAACCCAAGCTACAGATCTACTCCAACACCTTATAGACCAATTAGTTTAACATCTGTCATTGGGCCAATTATAGAAACTAAAGATGTTACAGCAGGAACTTAAAATAAATGAAGATAATTGGCACAGCCAACATAGTTTTTTTGAAAGGAAAATCATGTTTATCCAACTTACTGGAGTTGCATGAAAAATTAACGTGCTGTAGATAAAAGGGTGGATGTATTGTACTCAAGATTTCCATAAACTATATGATAAGATGTCACCTCAAAAGTTACTGCAATAAAGTTAGTTCATGGTAACATATTGGCATAGGTAGAATAATGGTTAGCTAGTACAAAACAGTAGGCATAAGTGGGTCATTTTCCAGTTGGCAAGACGTAACAAATAGTGTGTCACATGGATCAATGCTTGCGCCTCAACTTCTTGCAATTCATATAAATGGCTTCAATTAAGGAACCAAAGGTAATGGTCACCAAATTTGCTGATGGCACAGTGATAGGTAGGGAAGTTATTGTGAAGAAGGCATCAGGAGACTAAATGAAGACTAAAAAAAAGTAGGTTGAGCAGGAAAAGATCTCACAAATGAAGTGTAATGTGGAAAATGTAGAATTGTCCATTTTAACACTATTATAAAACATATTATCTATATCATGAGAGCCTGGAAAGCTCTGAGATGTAGAGTGATCTGAGTGTCCTATGCATAAATCACAAAAGTTTACCATGCAGGTACAGCAAGTATTTGGGAAAGCTGATAGAATGTTCTCATTTAGCAAGAGGCACCCAAAGACGAACATCATGCTTTAATTTTACAGGGCTTTTTTTGAGACCATATCTAGAGCACTGTGTACCGTATTAATTTCATGATTTAAGGGAGTATGCAAATGCACTGAAAGTAGTTCAGAGAAGGTTTACTAGACTAATACCTGTAAGGGACAAGTTGTTTTATAAAGAAAGATTGAATAAGCTAGGCATGTATCCAATGAAGTCAAGAAGACTAACAGGCAAATTGCTTGAAATATAAGATCTTCAGGAGTCTTGACAGGATCAATACTGAAAGGTTATTTTCTCTTGCGGGAGATTCTCGAACTAGGAGGTTACTTTTTCCAAAGTAAGGACTCACCAATTTAAGAAAGACACGGATTTTTTTTTTTTCTGAGGGTTATGAGTATTTAGAAGGACTTCTGCAAAAGGCAGTGGAAAAATAATCTGAAAAATTTTCAGGCAGAGCTAAATGGATTCTCGAAAAGAGGATGAAAGGTTGTCATGGGGAGTTGGGACTGGGTAGTTATCAGATTAGCCATGATCTTACCAAATGATGAAGCAGGTTTGAGGGGTCAAGTAGTCTACTCCTCTTCCCAACTGAAGACAGTAAAGATTGCAGATGCTGGAAGCTAGAGTCAATAAATGTGGAGCTGGAAAAGCACAGCAGGTCAGGCAGCATCCAAGGACCAGGGAAGTCAACGTTTTGGGCCAAAACATTTTGTCAGGACTTGGGAAGGGTTGGGGAGCCCAGAAATAAATAGAGGAAAGGGGGTGGGGTTGGAGGGAGGGTAGGTGGGATGGAGATAAGTGGATGCAGGTGGGGGGTTATTGTCGTTGGTCAGTGGAAAGGGTGGAGCAGAATGGTGAGTAGGAAGACGGACAGGTTGGGGGTGGAGAGATATTGAAGTTGGTGATACAGGTGGGGGGTTATTGTGGTTGGTCAGTGGGAAGGGTGGAGCGGATAGGTGAGTCGGAAGATGCACAGGTTGGAGGTGGAGAGATTTTGAAGCTGGCAAATTCAATATTCAGGCCATTGGGGTGTAAGCTCCCAAGGTGAAATATCAAATGTTGTTCCTCCAGTTTATGTTTGGCCTCACTCTGACAGTGAAGGAGGCCAAGGATGGACGTGTCACCAGGGGAATGGGAGGGGGGAGTTAAAGCAGATGGCAACCAGAAGGTCAATTGATTGGTCTGTGCAGAGCGCAAGGGCTCAGCAAACCGGTCCCCATAGAATCCATTTGGTCTCCCGATATACAGCAGACCACATTGGGAGCAACAGATACAGTAGATGAGGTTGGATGAAGCGCAGGTGGATCTCTGTCAGATTTGGAAGGATTGTTTGGGGCCTTGGACGGAGGTGAGGAGGGGTTGTAGGGGCTGGTGTAGCACCTCCTGCGGTTGCAGGGAAAGGCACCAGGTGTGGTGGAGAGGTGGGTGGAGATGTGGAGCTGACGAGGGAGTTGCGGAGTGAACGGTCCCTGCGGAAAGCTGACTGGAGTGGGGAAGGAAATATCTTTTGGGTGGTGGGGTCTGATTGTAGGTGGCAGAAATGTCAGAGGGTGATGTGTTGTATTTGGAGGTTGGTGGGGTGGTATGTGAGGACCAAGAGGACTCTATCCTTTTTGTGGTTTGGGGGAGAGGATTTGAGGGCAGAAGCATGGAAAATGGCGGTGACACTGTTGAGGACATCCTTTACACAGGAGAGGGGAAACTATGGCCCCCTCAAGTAGGAGGATATCTGGGAAGTCCTACACTAGAAAGCCTGATCCTGGGAGCAGATGCGGCAGCGGCAGAGGCAGAGGAATTGTGAATATGGGATAGCATTTTTTCAGGAGGGTGGATGAGAGGAGGTTTAGTCAAGGTAATTGTGGGAGTCAGTGGGTTTGAAGTGGATGTCAGTGGTGAGTCAGTTACCAGAGATGGAGACGGAGAGGTCCAGGTCCTCTTCCTAATTTGCAAGTTCATATGTAAAGTATCACTGATATTTAAGCTTAAGGAAAATATATGATCGCTTTTTTTCTGGTCAGGTCACCATACAAAAGAGTTGGTTTGCTTAATAAATAGCTCAAAATAACACTGATTAACATATTTATTTGAATAAACTAATACAAATTGTTTGCTATGGTTTACAGTTCATAAATATCTATGATATTGCACTAGTTATGCACTCAGTTTTATGCTATTTGTACTTCCTGATCTCAACTGTCGCTTAAGTTTTTCGAATAGAACATGGCTGAAGTTACAAAACTGTTTGATGCACTTTACTATACAAAATAATATATTAGCTGTAATGATCACAGCTAGGTCTCACATACAAAAATACTAACTTCAAGCAGAGTGGCAAAACAATCATGAAAAAATATTGAAAGATTCACTATTTGTAAACTTTACTGAGTGAGCAAGTCAAAAAAAGTGTCAATGAAATATGACAACAGTAACAAATGAATACAAAATTGTTTAAGTGACAGGAAACAAGAGCAGTGGTCAAGAGATGTTCTTCATAAATGTACTGCAGTTTCCAGGGGATGGTATTGGGACCTTTCATCTTCCTGATAGATAGCTTGGTGTACAGGACACAACTTCAAAATTTTCCAATGATACAAAACTTGGGAATACTGTAACTAAAAGAAGTATAGTATAGAATAGAAATACAAAAGAACACAGACTGGTTGGTGGAATGGGTGGACAGGTGGCAAATGAAATCTATTACAGAGAAGTATGAAGTGTTTAATTTTGCTGGGAAGAAAGTAAAGAGACAACGTTAAAAAAAAGTACAATTCTAATAGGGGTGCAGGAGCAGAAAGACATCGATACATGTAGGCATAAATCATTGAAGGTGGCAAGCTAGACTGAGGGAGCATTTCATAAGGTAATCATGATGTAGAGGCACCCATGTTGGATTGGGCTGGACACGGTCAAAAATCACACAACACCAGGTTATAGTCCCAACAGGTTTATTTGAAATCACAAGCTTTCAAAGTGCTGCCCTGGTGAAGGAGTAGTGCTCTGAAAGCTTGAGATTTCAAATAAACCTGTTGGACTGTGACCTGGTGTCATGTGACTTTTGACCTTTTCGTAAGGCAGACAGCATTCTAAGCTTTACTATTAGGGGAATAGACTATAAAGGCAAGGAAGTTACATTAAACTGGTTCATGACATTGCTTGGAGTATTGCACCCATTTCTCAGTTTCCGGCTTTAGGAAAGATGAAGAGATTAGAGAGTGTAAAAATGATTCATAAGAATATTTCCAGGGATGACAAGCTTGAGGTATAAAGATTGATTGGCTAAATTAGAACTATTTTCCTTGGAGAATAGAGAGTTTTATTTAAAATCATGCGGGGTCCTAACAGTGCAGATAAAGGAAAAAAAATGTTCCCACTAGTTTAAGGATCAAGAACAAGAGGGTATGAATTTAAGATATGTAATTAGCAACAGAAGTACAAGTGATACAAGGAAAAGGATTTTCAGGCAGTGGGTGATTATCATCTAGAACGCATTGCCTGAAAGTGCAGTGGAGACAGGATCAATTGAGCATTCAGGGAAGAATGGTACCTCAGTGGTTAGCACTGCTGTCTCACAGCACCAGGGACCCAGGTTCAATTCCACCCTCGGGTGACTCTCTGTGTGGAGATTGCATATTCTCCCCGTGCCTGCATGGGTTTCCTCCACGTGCTCTGGCTTTCTCCTACTGTTCAAAGATGTGCAGGTTTAGGTGGATTGGCCATGCCATAGGGATAAGGTTGGGGGCGTGGATCCTGGTAGGATGCCATCTGGAGGTTCAGTGTGAATTCGATGGGCTGAATGGCCTGCTTCCACACTGTAGCGATTCTATGATTCTAATTAGCCTTTTATCCGAAAAGGAAAAATCTACAGGGCTCCATGAAGGTGGGGAGTCGTATGAAGTAAGAAGAGCCCAGGAGAGACAGCACACACACAATGGGCCAAATGCTTCTTTTGCCCTGCAAAAATTCTGATATTCCATGATACATCAACGGTTTCTAAACAGAAGAAAAAAAATCTCTGGTCTCAAATGTTTCTATTTAAAAATAAAGAGGCTCTCAAAGGACAGATCGCAGTTGGTCCTAAAATTGGCCAACAGAAAAGTGAATTCATTTCAGGTATATCTCCCCGAATTTACCAAGTACATGTAGTTTTCAGATTTCTTTGTTCAGAAATAGAACAGAACAATTTATGTTTCCTTTACCAGCTTCAACAGTAGATAAATGATTTATAAGTGGTGATTCACTTGATGATTGTGAACATACAGGACGAGGCTTCATGCAGTAGCTGTGATTCTCTCGGGATGATTGCTTGCAGAAGTGTAAAGGTTTCAGCTTTTCTATAGAGATTTTGGTTACAACTTGCAAACTGTCTTGGAATTACACTGCTTGTATAACTGAACAATGCCAGAAAATACAATTTGACTTTCACACAAGGAAAAATAAATTTTGGATCTCATAGATAAAGAAAGACAGGTATAAGTATGCAATCAATACATTGTCAGGTATGAATTATAACTTCATCTCTTCTCTTATATCAACCTTTGTTGTAGATAAAAGAATGAAGATTAGTTTACTGAGATTAGGCAATTTAACCTTGATCTTTCTCCCAATAAAGTGTAAAAACAAATGAATGCATATAACAAAACCAACATTGAGCTGAAAATTCTACATGTGCATTTTGAAAAAATCATATAACATTTTCTGAATAAATAATCCTGTTAGTGTAGAGTTCTAACTTTTCAGAAAACATCAAGTCTGGCTTTCAAGGCAAACACATATTTAGGTTTCTTCATTTCATAGTAATGTATGCAATTACATACACTTTAATAAGTTTAGAGTCTGTTTTTAAGACTGCAGTTGAGACACTGCCAAAAAGTGACAACTTCTTTTTAAGTACAGTAAAATGATAACACAGATCATATGAGGACTGTACACAAATGTGTTAAGCATCACTTTCAGATAGCTGAGGAAACCTTGACATAACCCAAATTGCCTACAAATGCATTCTAAAAAAACCCCATGAAGTGTCCAGATCTTGTACAGTAACAGGCACTGAAAAACATAGGGAGTTAGCTCTGCATAACTCAGTACTCTTTCTCTGCTTAGTGCATTGCCTTTGGAGAGGTTTCCATATTATCAATGCAGTTAAATATTAACAGTGATAATAGGAACTGCAGATGCTGGAGAATCTGAGATAACAAGGTGTAGAGCTGGATGAACACA